CTCTTAAAATTATCTTTTGCTAAGATTTTATAAGATCTTAATTTAAGATTTTGTCCTTTTTATTAAGATCTTATCCTTTAAGATTTTGATAAGATAATCTACGATCTTATTGTTTAAGATCTTAATAAAATTTAATGACTCTGCTTTCATTCACCCTTTTGTTTTGCTCTCATTCATCTATATAAGTGACTATACGGTTATTTTTCTTCAGACTCTGCCGGTCAGAATTTTCGGGTCTCACGATCTTAGTAAAATTTGAGCAAGTTTTTCACTAGGGGAGAAATTTGAACAAGATTTTAAAAGATTTGGAGAGATTCAAATCCGTTTTGTCCCTCTTAATACCAATTCTCTCGGACAATTTAATTAATATAATTTAAAAATTTGAAATTTTCTCCGTACCAGAAGAGCCTTTATTATTCAATTTTCGTATTACTATTTCTCAATCATTTATTTTAAACAGAAATAGTGTTGAAGATGCTATTCAAGATGTTGTGGCAGTTCATTTACGCATTTAATAACATCAGTCTCATGCTTTGTTGGACAAGGTGAACCAAATTGAAAGTCATGCTGCGTGAAACATTTAGAGTAGTATTCGTAGAATGTTTAACCACACTATCAGGATCAACAGCGATGATTGTTGTAAGATCATTAATTGTGAAGTCTGTTTCTTTTCTATCGACGCGTTAGGAGGAAAAAATTCTCCACACATGGGATATCTAATGTGGAAAAAGTTATCTCCCTATTTGCTAGATTCCTATTACAAACAGCAAAAAGAAAAATATTGAATTTAATATTTTAAACTCGACCTGTTTGAACTAAATAAATTAATGTTTTACAGCAGCTGGCTAGATGCAGAGCACACCATTGGAATTGCCAACATTTCTTACGTCTACATCAAGTCGCTACGAGAAATATCGTAACTCTATCGCTCACAAACGGTAGCTTTTCTTTCGTCATTTCTGATATCGACCACCGTGAGGGGTTAAAACCATCGATCAAGCAAAAATGAAGCGTAGAACAGACTGTCTTCATTTGTTTTATATCTGTATCTGCTTCCTTTCACGAACTGTTAACCTTTTGCGAAACAGTATCAATAAATATTAAAAAAAAGGTTTCTAATATTCCATTTACAGATTCACAGTGGCAGGTACCTCAATCCGTCAGTCGACGTTTGAGCGAGCAGAGAGGGCGAGGATTGTGGGAGTAAGTAGAAAGAGGACAATTCAAAAAGCTGAAAATCCATGAGATTAAACTTAGCTTAACAACATGTTATAATTAGAAAATAATCTCGGGTATACAAAGACATTTTGAACAAATCCGATTATAGTTGAAGCAAGTGAATGATTTCAAAGAAGCTCAAAATTACAAGTGATTGTATGTTTACAGTTGTATAATTTAAATGTTGAGAATCCTCAGCTGTCGGTTAATCGTTAGGTTCAAATTGTTCTTCAGCACTCTACAATTATAAGCAGTTGGGAAGCACTGACATAAAGTATACGTAGTGTTTCTATTTGTATTAAAAACCACTTTTGTGATGCATACTCAATCTTGTTGTTACATATAGTCATCAGTCACACGCTTATATGCTTTTGTTCTCTTTCTACTCTCTTTTTTATCAAATAAGTTTTCAATCTGATGCAGAAAATATAATTATTACCACTACTAGAAAATTACATAAATGCGTCTACAAATTACATGTCAAATTTCGAAAATTCTATTTTTTCTTTTTTTAGGAAGTTGCTAAATCCACATGAATGTGTAGCAACTTGATACTTTTGATACTAGATCAAATGATTCCTTTCTTTCTCTTACCCTTTTCTATGTTAAAAATTCGCAGTCTATTTGTTCACAGAGCAAAAAAATGTTTTTGAATACTTTCAAAAATCTTCTCTTTTCACATCTGTACAGGAATGATTAAAACTGTTTGCGGTGAACTGCATGGCATTAAATAAAGATTCCAAGATTTTGTTACAGCGAACACGTATATGATAAATTATTTCTTCCTTCAATATCTCTATTGACACATGAATAACATGATATATCAGCCAAAAAGTACTCTAAAAGAACTATTATCATTCAAATGTCAATAGTAAAAAGATTATGAGACAAAAAAAACCGAGCAGAACATTTTTCTTTTTTTGTATATCATACAGAGCAATTTTTAAAGTAAGTATAATTGAGCATTTATGTAGAAAACAAAGAAATACATTCCAAAGTTTGGCATCTGGGATATTGAGAATACTCTGTACGATCTATCTTCGATTAAATATCACAATAGACGATCATTTTAGGCAATAAATCCTCTTTAAAAGCAAATGACAAGTGAAATTTTTTTGTTTCCTTTACTCAAATAAAAAAAGATCGATAAAAAAGTAATCCTCTTCCCATTAGATAATGGTTGGTTGACATAATGGTTGGCAGACAAACGATATAAACCTGAAAGGTCGGCAGGTAATGAAAACATTTTCTTCTATTTATTTTGGAAAAAAGTAAATATAAAAAGAATAGAAAAGAATTTTGAAAATGACCTGCAACTAAATGACTGTAATATTTTCCACATCACTTTTAACAGCCTGTATCCACGATCATTAAGTAGTGTTATTAAATGAAACGTGATTTATTATCCTCAACCCAGTATCAAATGTAGAACCTATGTAGAAAACAGTTTTTAAATTGAATGATCGAAGATCGATGTTCTAAAAAAGAACTACGAGCAACAACGATTGTTCTCAAATAAGCAACAGATGAGCGATCAGTTTTAGTGTGTACACGATCAAATAGATCATCGTAATACGATGGCGGTGCTCCACAGGAGCCAATGCACAGAGATCTAAGTTGTGCAATAGATGTTCGATTGTTTCCTTTATACTTGCGCAACAGATAGCGGCAACAGTGTTAGGAAGATTCCCAAATTTTTTTAACCAGAATTTCCTCTCTTCAAAAGTTATTGGGGTTTTCGTAAAAATCCTAAAAACAGCGGAAAACGATAACTGCATAAAAATCTGTTTTCAGACTTCAATAGTCCAAGGTCAGTAGATCCGAACGATATAGAGCTCCTCCAGTTCTTAGAGGTATCAGACGAGGAAATCAACTTTTGATTAGCGCCACATCTCGTTCCAAAGACACTTTGAGATCTGTTCTATCTCAGACAAGACACCTGATTCAATAAAAGTCATAATTTCCTGTAATCACGTACCAGCACTATATATATCGATGATATATGAGTCAATGTGTGACTTTCGGCAAGCAAAATGTTTTTTTCGAAAGTGACACAAAAGTGAAATTTTTATATATTGTCTTCATATGTTTGCACACATGCTCGTTTGCTATAGATAGCACTCAACCTCGACTACTTATGCGCCAAGTATGAACTCTTGTATTACTTTCCAGACCAAGATCTAAACACCACAAATTTTATGCAGTTATTGTTTTCCGCTGTTTTTAGGACTATTACGAAAACCTCAATAACTTTTGAAGAGAGCAAGTCCTGGTTAAAAAAATTTGGGAATCTTCCTAACAATGTTGCCGCTATCTGTTGTGCAAGTATAAAGGAAACAATCAAACATCGATTGCGCACCTTATGCGAGAAACAGCTATCTCAACGGTGCACTTTAGGTTCAAATTTTGGTCGTTTTTTCTATATTATTAACTCATTAAGTACCATGATCCCCATTTGGGAATATTAAATAAATGATTCTATTATTTTCAGATGTGTAAATATTTTTATTATGCATCATATTGTTGAAGAAAGCATAAAATTTGCCTCGCAAAATAATCGGCACGACTTTCAAATAACAGAAACTTGCCTAAGAAAATGTATGGGGGATCTAAGTTTGAAAGCCTAAAAATTTCACAAAATAATATATTAATGAAATTTTATTTTTACATCTTATTTCGATACATCTTTTTACGCAGAAAAATTCAGAAAAATTAAAATTTAAAAATCTGGTACTTAATGGGTTAAACTTAAAGAGAATCTTGACGAGACTGAAATGGTAAAGTATCCAAAAAACTGTGTTCCGCCAACGTAAACTGGCGAAAAACTCACATCTGACGGATATCTTGGGGAAAAGTCTATTTTTGTCCTGATAAGTTTTTTCCCATTACACTAATTACTATCGGTTTTAAAAGACAGAGATAGAGGATATTTTTCGAATAACTATTGATAGAAATGAGATTGAGACTTTGTAAATTAATTTGGACGTCGTTTTATTACACTATAAGTCTACAAAATGTTTTCTCAAAGCAGACTTTTGAGAGAGTATTTGGAAAATCAATCTAGTTCTTTACGAATTTAAATGAAAATTAATTTTTTTATCTGAGAATCTTCTGGATTCTCTTATCTATGTTGATATAGAAATAGCATCGGATTTCTTCAGAGCCCCAAAACTAGTGGAAGATGATCGGATGATCAAACTCAAAGATAAATGAAACCATAAGTTACGACAACGTTTGTTTTCGTTCATACTTTTCTATCAGTAATTATTTGAAAAATCTTCTCTATTCCTGATTCTGACAAAGCTTTTCTTTTCTATCAACGTTTCATTTCATAAGAGAACTTTTTGTCTCGAGTGTATATAGTGTTAGTACCTTTTTTTCTCTCATAAAGACTCTATTTGTACAAAAAATTATGTATATTTCTAAAATTTGTGTATAGAATAGAAGTTGTAAACGTGTTCAATATATCTTCTCTCTTTGTTCACACAAACAAGTACGTCACAGATCAGAAGAATATATCTGTCTTAGTTCTCTACAACAAATATAGAAAAGGGAAAAAAATCTTTTTTTTTTGTACAAATAATATATCAAAGAGGACAGTGATAAGGAAAATCAAATGATAATTCGTTCCATCACGCGAGAAAAAAATATGACTTTTGCCCATTTTTTTTCTTCTCTTACTAAAGCATAGAGTAACAGTAAACGAATAATTATAAGTAACAACCAAAAAGGTTAACATCAACAAAAATGTTGAACTCTCATTATTTATTAGCAGAAAAATTATGAGTCACAGTGAAAAAGATGACGTATCTATATTAATTCCCGATAATAATCGGTCGATTGAAAAATCCAAAACGGGAACGACATGTGGAACATCAACAACAACAATAACAGATAATAATAGTCAACAACTTGTTAATACAGTTGTATTTAAAGCAATGATCGTATTTCAGGTGAATAACTAATTACTTTAAGAATACTTTACTTCATAACTGTTTTTTGTCATTCTTTAAGGTATTTGCTTATGGATCATATAGTGTTCTCGTTCATTTATGCGAGAAAAATGGTAAAATAGAATTTAGTTCAACAACAATGAATTTTATTTTGGAATTATCAAAATTATTATTTTCTTTAAATGCTTTTCTATGTATTTCTTCATCAGTAACGGGATCAAATCATTCATCATTGACAATATCAAGAAAGTTACTATTACATTCATTACCTTACAGTATACCAGCTATACTCTATTTTATCAATAATAATCTCGCTGTTCATATGCAATTACAAATGGATCCAGCATCATATCAAATTTTATCAAATTTCAAGATTTTGACAACAGCTATTCTCTATAGAATAATTATGAAACAATATTTAACCAAAATTAAGTGGTTATCGTTAATATTACTATTCGCTGGAGGTCTCTGCTATAGTATAGGTACAGTGACAAATAGATTTTATATCTGAACACTTACTAAGGGAGCATTTAAAAATCCTTGCCGTTCTCTATGCCGTTCTGCCGCGGCATAACGGATTTATTTTAATGACATTTCGATATATTACCCAAGCGTCAAAAAAATATCTAGTATCGCCCGCTTCATCTAGATTACGAGATTTTTATTCCATTGCAACTATTGGGTAACGACAGTGAAAATCTAGTAATCGGGCGATTGCTAGATTTCTCCTAGTTGCAACTATCGATTTAGCGATCGATTTAACTATTGCTAGTTACACATGCAGACGCATCTAGTTAAAAGTCCCTTTTCCAATTAATAATCTAGATGGCAACTAGTCGTGTATCACCCGATTACAGACGAAATATATCTAGATTTTTCCCATAGGTAATATTTGCTTGGGTATCGGCTTTATTTCGGTACATTATTATACTTTTTTCTATTAATCGTAAATCGTGAAGACAATTTCAATAAATTTATCTACAAAAATAAATTGCATGTATACGTACGTATACATATATAAAATACAATCGATAATATATCGAAATATCATTAAAATAAATTCGTTATATCGTGGTAGAATGGTATAGAAAACGGCAAGAATTTTGAAATTCTCCCTAACTGAAAATTCAGTGTATAAGATAAGATTATTATTGACATTATATTTTCTTTCATATTGAAATAGATTAGATCATGAAGTTGTATCGCACTTTATTATACATAGGCTTGTTGAGACTTCGAATCGAATTTTTCGAGTTTTAAAATAAATTAATGTTCTTCAGTTAACAGACTATTATTTCAAACCATTCCTTTTTTTTCATTTTCACTATTTTAGGTACATTACGAAGTTCAAATGTGGAGTCATTATCACTCTCTTCTACCTCTTCTCCGTCTGATCCAACATCGATGTTAGTTACTAATCAAATGTACATCCGTCCTTTGGGCATACCAATGATTAGTACATATTGCATCCTCTCGGGATTAGCTGGTGTCTACAATGAGTGGATATTAAAAAAATATTATCAAGAATCGTTAAATGTGCAAAATATTTACTTGTATTCGTACGGAACAATTTTCAACTTAATACCAGCATACTATACTCAATCTTCTTCGTCTATATTCTCGGTTAAATCAGCATTTAAAGGATTTTCCGTTTATACATGGTTAATTATAATTACACAGACACTAAATGGTCTCTTTATGTCCGTGGTTATTAAACATTCATCAAACATTACAAGACTATTTGTTATTTCATTTTCAGTGATCGTGACAACAGTGCTAAGTGTCTCTTTATTTAGTTTACAGCTCAATGCCTACTTTTTTTTCTCTTTTGCTACAATGATTTGTGCATTATACATCTACTATAAGCAGTGAACTTATTAGTTTAATAAAGGTGCTATGAAACGGATGGAGAGATTCGTTGACGATTCATCTCTAGTCATATTTTTAATTGTTTTTATTATTTAGAATTAAGACAAAATTTTAACGATTGCACTTCTTTTCCATTCGATTGTTTCTCCATTGATACTGGATCTTTCTCTAGTTTAATAGTCATTTTTTCCAAAAACTGTTTGTTGATAAATGTGATTGGTTGGTATCGAATTCTTTTCATAGTGTTAAATCTTATCATCATTTTAACCATTCAGTTTTTCTGATCTTTTCAATCTACTTTTTCGTAATATAATCATTTGAGTATAGCTGATTTGACTTCTTTTTTAGGTTCATCATTTGGAAATAAACTTAGAACACAGCGTTCTCACAAAGGTTAATGAGTTACAGTTTCTTTCCGTACTAGACTAGTAAAATTTTTAGCTACGTCTCAAAAGAGATACAATATATATTCTCAAAAAAATAAAGAAATTGCGTTTCTCAAAAGAGATACAATTATAGATATATTATCTCTCATTTCTATATTCCAAAGAAAAAATGAAATGAAATAAGAGGTAGAAGCAATCAAGATAAGTGATATTTAGTACTTATATTTAAAAAAAATTATTTTTTCAAAAAGAAGTTAATTTGTCAACTGTTTGTAATTTCAATCTTCGCTCTGTCTTCCTCCTCATCCGTGCTAATATCCGAAGCACGAGTATCCTTAAACACTTCCAAATAATTGTTTTTATTTATATGGTGACATCGAAAAAGATTTTTTTCGAACAACGACAGAAGCGTCTTTTTGACTTCGCTTTTGTACAAAATCCATTATAGTTTTTTGAAGAGTAAGACAACATTGCTTTGAGCAGTATTATTTATAAATATTTCAAAACTATAGTTAACGTTTACGATTTACAAATAGTTCACAAGTTAACTTCTTTTTGAAAAATAATTTTGTTTTAAATATAAGTGCTAATTACCACTTATCTTGATTGCTTCTACCTCTTATTTAATTTCATTTCTATTTGGAATATAGAAATGAGAGATAATATATCTCGTTTGAGAAACATAATTTCTTGCCAAAATATTCGTTTCTCAAACGAGATACTTTTTAATTGATTAAAACAGATATATTCTAAAATATGGATTTGTATCTCTTTTGAGAAGCTACACAATTTTTGAAAGATAAATGTTTTAATGTATAATAACCCGTGTTGGTAGGAAAAAATGAAGCGTATTCTTTTAACATTAGTGTTTTATATGTAAAACTTTATTAGAGACAGCCATAGTTAGTAAAGACAAGGTGTTTCTCAGAGAAACTTTCTTGATGATCTATAAATTTTTTAACACTCATCTTCATTTGTTTATTTTCTTTACTAAATTGTTCTTTACAGATAATTGTTTCATTTCTTCTATATTGATGTGTTAATTCCAGAGTTTTCGATTATGGATTGTTTGTAACTCGGAGTAAACAATCTTATAAATTTCATATTTCTAAGTAATACGTCCCTCTTCCTTGTAATGAAAACTCTGATTAATTGTCACCATTTAAAACTCAAATGAGATTATTTAGAATATCATTCCGAGGATTCCGAGATAATCAAAGTTGTTTTTCATTTTACTAACGTTGTGTTTTAACATCTTTACCAGCGGTATATGGATCGAAAGTCAATGAATTTTGTAGATGTGAGTCATAGTATTCATTGATTCTCATATTATACAAAGAACTGTATAAAGGAAGCCATCAGAAATCTAAAAATAAACGAATAACAATGTTAAAAACATGTTGCATGGCTTATGCATCTTCTTTCTCAAAACACAAACGAAAAAGTTATTCAATTCATATGTGCCTGTAGCGACAAAAGAACTCGTTTAAAGTGTTTGGTTCTAAGCTCACATACTAAGTAAAAAGGTTTGGTTACAGTTTCTCTCCTTCGACCCAACTACCACCAAGTTGATGATAGTTGGCTTGAAGGAGTTTTCCTCGAATGTGCAGGTTACCTGCATATTTTTTTTGCGCCAGTACTACTCTAACCATACAAGTTTCGAGAATAAGTTAAAAAGTCAAGCGCAAAACCCTACAATCTTTTGATTGTAATTATGCTGTAGACACATTAGAAGACCCGGGGTCTTCTAATGTGTCCTATCGTTTACAAATTTTAGGAGGTCTTCTATTGTGTCCCTTAGAAAAGTCATATTTTTTGCTACCCTCAACAATAAAACACGCAGTTCAAAACCACAGTATTTTCATCACTGAATCATTGTTCATAAGTGTTTAAGAAAGATTTTAGTTACGAAAGTAATCGAAGATTTATCTGCTGTGTACAGAGGGGCACCAAAAGATGACTATTTTCGTTACATATCGTGTCGAATAGACCGCAAGAGAACAGACAGATACATACACCTGTATTAACCACATTTTGTTTCGTCCAGAGAAAGAAAAATATTATTGCGCTTCAGTTACAGAGATGCATATGCAAAAAGGTAAACAAATTTCCAAAAATTCTCAAAAAATCAACCTTTCTTAAAGCGGGCTCTTCTAATCTGTATTATGCTTCACTCACTCAAAGAGGGTCTTCTAATATGTCCATCCCTTTAGCTTCAAATGTTTAATTCTTGTAGTACTGTCAAATCAGAACCATAATTTTGTAATAACTAATAAAAATTAACCTAGAGAGGAGAAATAGTCTAGATTAAAACTTGAGAAGATATTTAACATTTAAAACTCGGTTTCCAGTTCTTTCATTTCGATTCTGAGGTAGCGAGCGGATGTAAAACATTTTTTATACAACAACTTTTAAGTTTAGAATCAAATAAGTTTGGCATAAATTTTGTCACACGGATTTTGCAAAAATAAATTTGAACCTTTAAGCGTCGCTCGTAACAGTTACGAACTATCTCAACAGATAAAATTTTTCAAAAAATTACCAGACAAAAGAGCCCATAAATTTTTTCACAGTACAAACAGGTCGCGGACAACATTATATGCTCACGGGCTCGGGCTTACGGGACGGGACAAAATGTTCATGTTCGAACTTGCGAGCTCAGGGCAACAGAAAAGTTTGTCCCACAGGATTCTAAATGGTATTATTGTGCCCTCAGTTATTTTTCTCGCTAATCCAGCTTGGCAAGAAAAGTCCAATTTTGGATACGCTTAGTTCGTGCTTCTGGCTCATATTTGAGAATTTCATTTGATAAATTTGAGCCTCGTGAATCTATACACAATTGTATTGTTGCACATTTCAAATTCATTCCATCAAACCACATATCATACGAACAGAGGTGCTGCGAATCTTCAAATTTAGAGTGGTTAAAAAGTTTCTCCTTAGAGGTAGGTGGTATATGTTTGTTGTTAGTTTTTTCTTTTATCTTTTAGTTTTCATGTATATATTTGCTTTCATCTCTATACAATACAATACCAGCAGACTTGAACATGATAATAATCATAAGTATATAACCATGTCTAATGTAATGTAATGATAATGGAAAAACCATCAAGATAAACTACAACGACGACGCGACTTGATAAAATAACGCCGCCATTAAAATGGTCAGGGCGTCTCTCATCAATTTTAATACTGAGAGATGTCATCATGAGGTGGAATTATTTTGTGAGAAGTGATTAGTATAGATAAGTGATCA